TGGAGGGATTGAGTGTCATATTACGAAAAGAAGAAACCAGTGGGGAAATGCATGGAGTGGCAGTTTAGAGGAGCTCTGAGGGTGTCTTATTTGTTATTTGTTGATGATAGTTTCCTATTTTTTAAGGCAACTAATGGTGAATGTGAGACTGTTAAGATTTGGAATAATTGTTTTGTCTCTAGAGCAGGTCGAGCGGTGTTGCTAAGGAATTCCATTCAAGCTATGCTCACTTACCCTATGAATGTGTTTTTGTTGTCGAAAGATCTGTGTGACGAGATTGAAAAAAATGATGAATGGCTTTTGATGGAGGGGCTCCAAAGTTGATTAGAAAGGGTTACGCTGGAGGAGCTTGGAAGGAATATGTAGACCGAAGGAGGTAGGAGGTTTGGGATCTAGGAGGATGAGAGAGTTTAATTTGGCCATGTTAGCCAAACAGGGTTGACGACTAGTTACAGAGACAGATAATCTTATGAGCTGAGTACTTAAAGCAAGGTATTTCTAAATTCTAATTTTTAAATGCAAGTTTTCCTGCTTTTATTTGGAGAAGTATTTTTGAGACTCAATCTATTCTAAAAAATAATATACATAGAAGAATGGGGAATGGTATTGATGTTCAGGTTTGGACGGATGCTTATTTACCAGGGCAGAGGTCGGGGAAAATCAAATCGACTTGTCCCCGCGGGATATTACAGGGAAACTTTGGAACACTGAAAAAGTCATGTCAATTTTTAATCATGAGGATAGAGCCTTAATTCTAAGTATTCCTATTAGTACGCAGAAAAGGAAGGATGACTATTGGTGAACGGGGAGAAATAATGGATTATTCTTGGTTAAAAGTTGTTACAAACTTCTTATGGGGGAATTACCACCTAGCGTTTGGACTGGTTGGGTGAAAATGTGGGAGATACGAGTTCTGCCGAAGTTTAAATATTTTGCTTGGCAGATGTTGGATGGTACTACCTACCGTGGATAATTTAAGGAGGAAAGGCGTGGCTATACAGGGAGGTTGTAAGCTCTGCGGTGATGAGACATAATCCTTGGATCATGCGATGCGCTCCTGTGATCATGTCCGAGAAATATGTCAGCAGGCAGGGATTACGACAGGGCCAACACATGCACCTGTGGAGGATTGGTTGAGACAACAGCTAAAATGACCAAACATGGAGGCCCAATGCAGATTTCTCTCTATTTTATGGGGGACTTGGAAGAGACGCAATAACACAGTGTGGAAAGAGCAGCGACAGGAGGCGGCAAGTGTGTTGAATGGAGCGGATAGAATGCTTGCAAGCTAGAGGGAGGCACAAGGCGTAGCTCGGCTAGGATAGAACAGACCAGTGGCCCCGAGGTGGGGTGGAAATATCCCAGAAGCGGGAACGTCAAGATCAATGTGGATGTGATAGTCAACCAGGCACGTGAGATTTGGGCTTTTGGTTGGATTGCAAGGGACAAGCAAGGAGAATTTATCAAAGCTCACGGTGTCTCTAGTAGGGCAGGATGGTCTGCATCGGAGACTAAGGCTTTAGGAGTAGGAGATGTTATTTTATGCTCTGATGAGAAATGATGGGGTAATGTTGAGATCGAGACAAATGCTCTTACTGTGGTGCAGGGTCTTAAACGAGGAGAAAGTTCTTCTTATTTTCACCATGTTATTGATGTATTAGAAAGATATGGAAACAAAGAGTAATTTTAGTATCCCTTTTTGTAAACGGTCTGCAAATCATGTTGGTCATACTTTAGCCTGAGGACATGCTTTTATCTCACATCAGAAAGTCACTTATGATGTTATTCCTTATGGTAATGTCAGCCAATTGGTGAACAATTTGTTTATTTATTACTCCCTCCGTCTCACAAAATTTGGCCAATCTGACTATTCTTGGTCAATGACAAAAAAGTTTGAAAGACTATTTTAGTTGCTCCCTCCATCCCATGAACCTTGGCCAATGTTGACTTGCACGTAGATTAATAAAGTAAAAACTGTGTGGTTGATATTTGTGCAGAAAAGAGAGAAACAACTTTAGCCACATACTCCCTCCATCCCTTATAACTTTGTCAACTTTTTTTTTTTGATGTCCCACTAACTTTGCCACTTTCCCATTTAAGTAAAGAATTTGTGGTTCCAGTTAATTCTCTCTCCTTTGCACAAACCTCAACCACACAGTTTTTACTTTATTAATCCCCGTGCCGGTCAAACTTGGCAAAGTATTGAGGGACGGGGGGAGTATTTGTTACTTTAAATGGAAATGACAAAGTTTTTTGGGACAACCAAAAAAGAAAAGTTGGCCAAGTTTTGTGGGACGGGGGTAGTATTATATTTGTGTGAAACTTAAAAATTTTACATTTTTATGAAAGTATTTTTAACAATGAACATTTTCATATAATATCCATTTTTGAAATAATTTCTTATTAAGAAATATCATTGGTCAAAGTTGACCATCATTAACCAAGAAAAAGTCAAAATGGCCAAATTTTATGAGACAGAGGGAGTATAAGTTTTGGGTTTCACGATAAAAAAAATTGGGTGATTCAAATATGTGTTAAGAGAAAAAAACCACAAATTCATATTACTGTAAGAGAAAGTGACAAAAATTCTGAAACAAATTGAAAAGGCAAATGGCAAAGCTTAATTGAATAGAAGAACTATCATTTTGAGGTAAAAGACTTTGTGCATAGTTCTAAATATATGTCAAATTCAAATATGTCATATTCAACATTAAATGTGTTTGTGTTATATGTTCACTTAAAAAAATCACTTCGTTCTAAACAATTTTCTTAGTGTCTTATTTTATATCTTAATTATATTAGTCGAATGCACTTTAATATCATTATTGACGCACTTTAATATCATTATTATTGATGCACTTTCATTTCATATTTCATAAATGCACTCACGAATGCAATCTTCTTTTCTGGTATAACGATACACTTTTGACACTTTATTTTCTTAATAGTTCTTCATAATTACAATTCTTTCGCCGTGATTTTCACTTCAAAAATAATTTGAACCTTCTAATTTATCATTTCAATGGCCAATATTACTTTCATCTTTTATTTGAATCAAACTATCTATATAGAGTTTGGTTCAAATAAAAGGGTTTCTTAGGTGAAAACAAAAAACAATTATGGTTATTGATCTAATAAAATTGATGGATGAGATGAAATTTTAAAGAAAAACAAAGTGATATTTGCGTAAATACCTTTAAATTAATCTTGTAAAAAGTGCATCGTTGTACAAAAATAGTGCATTAATGTGCATCACACTTAAAACAAAAAAGCTAGAGTTCAAAGTGTAATGCACTTTAAGGATATATTGTTTTCCATTTTTTATACATTTTGAGTAAATTATATACTAGTTTTTTGAAGCAATGAATACTCGAAATGTATTCTTACTTTTTATGAGAAGAAAACATTTCACTTGAATTTCATCCACACGCGTATACACATATATGCAGGTCTAATACAAGGGGTCTTACATTCAGATTGTGAAATATTCATTTTTACAATGTCATAGTAATCCTTTTCACATTTGTTAAATATTCACTAATTTATAAAATTATCACATTTGAAAAGGTGCATCTTTAACACCGGTTAAAGTGCAACTGCTCCGCGTGCAAGTATAATATAAATGATTATAAAGGTATTACCCTAATAAGCGATTGAGATTTTTTCCAAATGAATTGCTACCATTGGAGATGATGTGGTTGACTGAGCAAATGATGGATGCGTTTCAATTGAAATCCCAGAAACTTTGCTTCTACATTCTTTTGGGAACTCCCGTAATGCTTTTACGTAACATTAATCATTCAACAGGATTGTGCGATGAAACAACAATCCTAATTGACAGAAATATGGGCCAACAATGTTTATTCCAAGGATATCTCTCACTCCTTCGGATGTCAAACTTCCATTTAAGTTTTGAAGAAGACAATTTTCGATCATGGTTGCTTATGCAATGATTATAAATAAAAGTCAGAGCTAACCCCTTTCACATGTTAGTTTATTGTTGAAGAAACCATTGTTTTGTCATGATTTATCATTACAGTTTCTAGGATCACAACCGCAACGATTCGGAAATTTTAATCGTAGATAGTGACAACAATAGAACATATGACACTACTAACAAGTCTAACACTGTTGTATAAACTATAAAGAAGTCTTTCAAATTTTGTAATGTGATATTTCTCCATGTTAAAAAACACGCAACATTTTATAGATTGAAATGTTATTTGTTGATGTTGGGGAAACCACGACACCCTGACCTTTACCAGGATCACAAGCTCAAATCACTCTTGTACACTCACTTCACCCCAAGCTACAATGACTCAATCAAATAAATAAAATTGAAATGTACCAGATAGAGTTTACAAATGAACGAGTACATCACTTCACTCTTTTTAGTTGGGAATACTTCACTCTCCTCACTTATGAGAAGCCTTTCTTTCACTCAAATGAAAGGCTACAACATCTATTTATACCGCTCACAAAGGGGTAGGGATCCCTTTCTTTAGAATCTTCCACCTACCTCTCTACATTTTAGATTCTTTCAAGAAGCCTCAACAAGCTTCCATTATCTTCTTGGAGAATCTAGATGATTCCACACTTATATAGAACACTCTAGACTGGTCTACAACCTTCTACACATTTCTAGAGATTTCTACATTTCTCTAGACACTAGTGTATTCTAGAAGATTCTATAACATTCTACACACATCTAAAGAGTAGTATATTTTTCTAGATAATTTTACTCATCTTCATATTGTTCTAAAATTCTCTAGAATTTCACAAAGTATTTGAAAATATTGAATTACATCCTAACAGTTAAAATTAATTATGTGTACATTGTTATTACTATAACATCTGTATAATGATTTTGTGTTTATTTTTTCTTATAGTTTCCATTTTGCTTTTTGGAAGACACCGAAAAGCTATTCGGCGAACGTCCGAAGTCCAAACCAGAAATAGGTGGCTCATTAATAATTACTCCGTAAACTATATTGAAGAAACACGAGTACGTGTATGCCCAAACTACCCCTGGCATAAGAATTAACGAACTACGCCCTTCTTTCCTCGTTTTTATCTCTGCAATCCTCCCCTTCCTCAGTTCGTAAATCGACGGGCATTCTCTATGCTCTCTCCTTCGATCATGATCTAACTATACTCCCTGCATTTCTCATCTCACCGCCGTCTCCTCAGATCTGCTTCTCCGTCCGGCAGCTCTCCGCCTCTAAAGGTCTCACCACATCAGGTTCTTCATCTTCAGCATTCTAAAGAGTAATGCGGGTTACTCTTTTCCTGATTTGAGTTTTTCTTTTTGTGGGTATTTAAAATGCTCAAACAATTTTGCATCTTCGGTAGGATTTCCCTTTCCCCTAGTGATTTGCTTATTAGTTGTGACATGTGACTTGTGAGTGGATGTAGTCTATGTTGGGAGAAGTAAGATGCATTAAATTAGGAATGGTGCTAGCTCATCTGGCGCGCTTCTTTGAAAAATTATATGGGTTTTGTCTTTGGGTATTCTCTGAAAATTTCGGTCCACGGTATAGTAGGAAGCGGATATAAACTATTTAAAAGCTGGTGTTGATCCGTGTTTGGTAAGATTATCTTACCTTTCCTTCAAACTCGAGTAATTGATGCATTATCTTGTATTAGATGTTACTTACAACTGTTTTGCCATTAAGAAAGGGCGGATGGAGTTCTATTGAGCTATGTTTAAAAAAGTTGTTTTCTTTGGCTTTTCTATACGTTATCAATCACGTTTTCTGAGGTCTATTTTGGAAATTAATAGAATCGTAGTGGTTTAGAATTTCTGATGTACGAAGGAAATTGGATGCAATCAATTAAGAATCTGGGTGAGTTTTTTGCTTCTAAGACTTAATGTACACTTTAATTTTTATATCTGAGTCAACACTCAATGCTATTTAGAGGTTTTTAATATAATTTTAGATCAGAGAAATGTGAGAAAGACTTCTCATTTGTCTGTTAGAAATTAGAATGCTTTATATTCCTAACTGCTTCTCTCATGACTTCTAAAGAAGATGGCTTTTATTGAATAGGATTTGAATCATCAAGATTTCTGGAGTTGGTGATGGCTTCATTAACTCATCCTTCAGCTATATTTGCTGGAAATTTGGCTTTTAAAGCTTCAGCTTCAGATCTCCTTCTTAGTTCTGGAGCTTGTATCTGTGATGTGCCATTGAAAGAACTTGGTAGGGTAAGATTGGGCTCTATAAGTACAAGTAGAGGTATTGTAGTCGCTGCAAAGAAGCTTAAGAGGCGCAGAAAGCAACATGACTATCCATGGTCAGGGGACATTGATCCAAATCTTAAGGGAGGGGTACTTCGCTTACTTTCCAATTTTAAACCTTTGAAGGAGAAGCCAAAGCCTGTGATATTGGACTTCGAGAAACCAATTGTGGATCTACAGAAGAAGATTGATGATGTATGTTCTTTCTATTAATTACTATCTCCGTGCTAAAAACAAACTCCTGCCTTATTTGGATCTCCAAAACAGAGTTCTTATTTCCATAAAAAGATTATTAATAGAATGACAATATTACACTTATTTTGTGTTTACTTATGTCTGCATTGACATAAAGTAGGGGTATACAGGGATAGTCAAAACAAAAATTTATCTTGCATAAATATGTGTGCAAATCGATCCAGGAGCTTTTGTTTTCAGGAGTATTGTTGTGGCATGCTGCTGTATATGACTTTATCTCAAGGCAGTTTTCATCTTGGTTTTAATAAGTGTTGCTTTTTTCTGAGAAGTGATAACTGTCCTTGATTACAGGTTAAGAAAATGGCAAGTGATACTGGGCTTGACTTCAGTGATCAAATCATTTCACTCGAAAACAAGTATCAGAAGGTTTGTGTTCTAAAATGCGCTTATGAAATATTCCACTTTCCACATCCAAACATGTCAAATTGAAACTCTTGTTTGAGACTATGATTACCATTATTATAATCTTTCAGGATCATGGTCTACTGTTTTGTGTTGTTTTGATATGATAGTATGCCAAAATGTAGGCTGTACTATGTATGAACTTACCAACTCCATTTTTTTTATAGAAGAGGCTGATGCCTCAAGCATAAGTTTTGACGGTGAGAGTCATGTTTCCATTATGCAGACAATTGCATAAGCTCAAACTAGTTAATCTAAGGAAAAAAGTGATCTAATTCATTCACTTTCCACTCTATATTCAACATTGGTGGTATTAGATATGAGCTTTGGTTTGGCAATTTCTCTTATAGTATTTTTTCTTCCTGTGTTATTAATCTCAGGCTCTTGAGCATCTTTACAAGCATCTGGAACCTATACAACGTGTCAGTATTGCAAGGCATCCTCACAGGCCAACATTTCTTGATCATGTATTCAATATTACTGATAAGGTCTGCTCGTGCTTTTTGTCAATTTCCCATGCTTTCAATTCATATCTGATGTTGCAAATGTTTTTAACCTTTGAAGCATTTAATTTGAAGTACAGTTTGTGGAACTTCATGGTGATCGAGCTGGATACGATGACCCAGCTATTGTTACTGGTCTTGGTATGATTGATGGTAAAAGTTTTATGTTTATTGGTCATCAAAAAGGACGCAACACAAAGGAGAACATAAAACGAAACTTTGGGATGCCCACACCTCATGGGTATGCTCTATTGGCGCACATTTACTCTTATTTGTTAAAGCAATACTTTTATTTTACTATATTTGACTTTCTTAATATGTTTTCAATAGTTATCGGAAGGCTCTGCGTATGATGCTGTATGCAGATCATCATGGTTTTCCTATTGTTACTTTTATTGACACTCCAGGGGCTTATGCAGACCTGAAGTCAGAGGAAAAAAATCAAGTATGTGAAGAACATCTGTCCGATTTTGTCCTTTGTCAAGCTATTTACTCTAGATGTAATTTTTATATTTGATATGTGCAGGGGGAAGCAATAGCACGAAACCTTAGGACAATGTTCGGATTGGAAGTACCAATTATCTCTATTGTTATAGGAGAAGGTGGATCTGGAGGTGCTCTGGCTATCGGCTGTGCCAATAAAATGTACATGCTTGAAAATTCAGTCTACTACGTTGCCAGGTACTTAAAACTCATACCTGCTCGGCTGTTCAGATGTACTTTTTTATCTGTTATTCTTTGACCAAGTCAATTTCTTCGTAATATTTAGTTTTTGTAATTATTATTGCCTTGCATTCATATTCTTCTTATATTTTTACCGCTTCAACAATCTAGTCCAGAGGCATGTGCAGCAATTTTGTGGAAGTCCGCAAAGGCTGCTCCAAAGGTTATACTTGTGTTTCTAACATTCATGCTTTATTGAAGAATACACACACAGGAATATTATAACTGACTATAACAGTGATATGTAGGCCGCTAAGAAGCTTAAAATCACCGCCCATGAGCTGCGCAAGCTTGATATAGCTGATCTTGTTATCCCTGTAATATTCCTTCTCTTATTTATGGTGTCCCTTTTTGATGAAAGTTATTAAGTTACCCAATTTTATTTTGTCTATCTGATTCTGTCTGAACTATTAAGTCATTCTTGCTGGTGTGCGGCTATAATAGAATGAGATTCCATGTTTTGTAGCTTAGTTGGTTTTGATTAGTTTGTGAGGTTATTAAAGTTATTGAAAATTCAATAGGTCACTATTTATAGTTTATTAAAGCATCTTCGAGTCCTATTTTATCTAGTTATCTACTATATTATCTTAAAAGTTGTGAGAGGTCATTTATGCCTGTCTGATACGTATTTTAACCTGCCGTAGGAGCCGCTTGGCGGCGCACATCATGATCCAAGTTGGACATCTGATCAGATTAAAGCTGCTATTCTTAAAGGAATGGATGTAAGTGCGAGTGCGATCATTTATTACCTTCAGTTTTCAAGCAGCAGTTATGCTGAAATAAAATGAAACACTGATAAATTTGTGTTTAGGAACTTTGCAAAATGGATACAGATGAGTTGTTAAATCACAGGATGCTTAAGTTCAGGAAAATAGGAACTGTTAATACCTTCCGGGAGGGAATTCCTGTAGATCCTATGAGGAAGAGGAACATGAAAAAGATAGATTCGCCCGATCTAATATATGAGAAGACTGATGTGATGGGATTAATGAAGGAGGTTGAGGAACTGGAAGAACAGGTACTGAGTTCTCAGTCCAGTCGAGAAGTGATGGTAGAAAAACTCAGAAGCGAACTTGATGGTGAATATTTGGAGGTTGCCAAGATGTTGGGACTTCATGGTAAAATTATAAAGCTAAGAGCAGAGTATGCTGAGCTGAGGATTTCGAATGACATGTCCGCGTACGAGGCTTTTATGGGAAGGGTTAACCAGCTGAAAGATGAGTTCCAGAAAAAGCTTTCTAAATCTCCTAGTTTTTCGGTCATAAAACCTAAGCTCGACATGATAAGCAAACTATCAAAATCCCTGGATCTCCTAGAGAAGAAGAGCAGAGTAGCTGCTATGAAGGGGGAGATTAATAAGAAATACAAAGAAATAATTAACCGGCCTGAATTCAAGGAGAAGATTGAGGCTTTACAGGCTGACATCAAGAGTAGTGGGGTGTCAACACCAGCAGAGTTAGACCAAGGTTTGAAGTATAGAATAGCTCAGTTGAATAATGAGATAAGATCAAAATATGAAGCTGCTCTTGAAGCTTCTGGGTTGCATGTTGAACCACCTTCAGTCTTAGATGCCAAAATATATGTATATCAAAATAAAGTTCAACGTTTCCTGGATGATGCTATGAAATCGACTGATGTGAAAGACAAGATTGAGCTGTTGAAAGCTGAAGTAGCCAAGGAAGGCAAGACACCAGATGAGGTTTCAAGCAACAAAGTTAAGGCTCTGCATCAGGAAATTAAGCAGCGCTTAATGGAGGCTTTCGAGTCATCTGAATTAAAAGACGAATACGAGAAGCTGAAATCCGAGATCTCACAATCCGTTGAAACTTCTAAAGGTTCAAATGGTGTTTTGCCAAAAGGGGATGCCAAACCTAAGCCAAAACCTAAGATTTCAGGAGAATCCATTTCAAGAGTTCTTACTGGGAATTGGCTACAAGGCATTGCCAACCTGGTAATGTAAAGTGCGGTCAGAGTTCAAGGTTAATCTTGAGGTAAACTTATATCACTTGGCAATAGTTAAAGACTCTAGTCTCTTTGGTATTGCCATAAAGACAATCAGTCAGACATTATGAGTCAATGATGTGCTGAAACTACATTCAGCGCATTGAAGATCCTCCTTTCAAAACTCCAGTTCCATGTCAGCTTCTAATGTTGTCTTCTTTCATAAGTCGTGGATGTTTCTCCTTTTCTTGGTTAGGATTTACACCTTCGGTTGGATCATAATTTTATTTATACTTAGTGTCATGGTTTTGTCAGGTTGAACTTGAGTTTTTTTGTTGTGGTTTCTATACAATCATTGTTCTGTATTGTTAGCTACAGAATGTTAGCTCATAAGACAAGCAAAATAAAGAGTGCATTGAAGAATTTAAAATGCTCGGTAATCATTACATTCTACCCATTAATAGGCTCTGATTTTCTGTTGCATCTCTTTCCTTGTAACTAAATTTTTTTAAAAAGGTAAAATTCATAATGAATAGAAAAAATGGACAAGAATAATCTTGAAATAACTCAAATTATCAATTATCTCAAAATAATTCCAACTATTGAAAAATCTTCTTAAAATACTCTGATGACTTATAATTATCTGTAATATTTATGAGTAAGTAGAGTATTTTAAGAAGATTTTTCAGTAGTTGGGATTATTTTGAGATAATTGATATTTTGGATTATTTCAAGCAGATCACTAATAGTTGAGATTATTCTTGTCAATTATTCCTAATGAATATGAAGTTTGAGCGCTTTTTATCAAATTGAAATCCCTTTTCCACATTTTGTGTACCCTCATTTTGAAGAGTTTGTATACATCATGTTAAATTTAGTCAACCATTCACAATGAGTAGTACACAAACATTATCACTAATGTGCACAAAAAAATGAAATCTTCTAAGGGGGGTGTTGTAATAAGATGTAGAAATATAGAATTGTAGTGAGGAAACAAAAAAAGGAAATTTATAAATTTGTTTTTTTCTTGCGCTCAGTTCTTGCAATATTAAGTTGCGTACGTGGTATATTGCTTGTTTACAAGACGATTTTTAGAGCATGTTTGGTTGGAGGATTTCTCAGGGGAAAGGAAGTGAATGACTTGTGTATGTTTGCCCGAAAGGCCGAAAGAAGTCCCGTGAGAGGGAAGTCGAGATTTCCAAATTTTTCACTTCCTCTCATTTTCAACCGCTCAACCATCCAAACTATGGATTGACTCGGGTCCGGGTCGGGCCTAGGCCCGGGCGGGCCGGCGGTTCAGAAAAGGTGGACCCGGGACCGGCTTGGGTAACCACCGGGTCCGGACCGGGCCCATTATCATTTTTTTTTGTTTTCCTCTTCCTAATAAACCCCTCTCCCACCCCCAACCCCCCAAACCACCCCAAAATACCCAGCCCAACCCGAAAATTTTAAAAAAATTGGAAAAAAAATAGTTTTTGGCCCGACCCGGGCCCGGGCCTGGCCGGGTCGGGCCTTGTTTTGGGTGACCCGAGCCCGGAATGGAAAACACACGGGCCGGGCCTACCCGGACCGGTCACTGACCGGGCCACCGGGTCGGGCCGGGCCGAAACAGTACCGGTCCCGGGCCGGTTCCGGGTCGGGCCACCCAGCCCGAGTCCATCCCTAATCCAAACTAGGGTGTTTCAGTGAAAATGTGTCGTTACGACAAGGATAAAAGCGTTGTAATTAGCAAATCTGTTAACAAATTAAAATCTCCCTAATTCAAAAACTTAAAAAATAAAATTTAAAAATTACAAAATCTAAAAAAAATTAAAGTAAAAAAGGGAGAAGCTGAAAATTGAAAAACTGAAAAACTTAAATTGAAAAATGGTAAAACTGGGAAAACTAAAAAATTGAAATTTGAAAAAATGTACTCCCCCAGTCCCTTAAAATTTTGCCAACTTTCCTTTTTGGGACGTCCCAAAAAACTTTGTAACTTTCTCTTTTAATCAATTATTTTGGGGTCTATGTTATTTCTCTCTCCTTTGCTCAAATCTCAATCACACAGTTTTTACTTTATTATTCCCCGTGCCGGTTAAACGTGACAAAGTTTTAAGGGACGGAGGTAGTATATTTGAATGACCGAAATACCTATATAAAGTACTCCCTCCGTATCTATTTACTTGTCACACTTTCCTTTTTTTGTGTATCAAATTAATTGTCTCCTTTCCTTTTTTGGAAAGAATCTCACTCAAAAAGCAGCTACAATACCTCTACAGTACCGCTACAGTACCAAAAACATCTTACTTTTTATAAAGTCTACGGTAATTGTTGTAAACTCTGTGAAAAGCAAACGGGTCATCTAATTAGATACGGAGGGAGTAAATCATAACTACTCTTTTCGAGTTTTCATTTTTTTTGAAATAGATCCATTATAGTTGATTTGTGACTGTTTCAAATATTTCTCTTTCTATAAAACAAACTAGACAGTCACTCAAAAAATGATTATCGATTCTATTACGCAAATTAGTCTACTCTCTTTATAACAGAAAAACACCTCTCATTAGTTGTCGTGGCAACTGGTGATAGCCGTTATATTTACTTGTGTTTAAAATAAGTATTTATGAGTATTTGTTGAAGAAAAGAAGATAAATCACGCAAATACCTTCAGAATGAGAGTTAAAGCGTAAAATATTGCGATGGACGACTTTTTGAACCAAGAAGATGATGTTCTACCCGAAATTTGAGTATAACTTATTGTATAAATTCCAAATGACTCGATGCGAAGTTTCATGTGAATGATAACTCAATAAGCTACAAATGTTGTGAAGACATCATGGCCAGAATATGAAAGGATCAAGACTCAATCAACCAATAAAATCATATGTTGCTGGTGAAATTTCAGGATGCAGACCTCTATTTTATTCATATCTTTTGATTGGATGATTAAAAACACGTCATTCAAGTTTTGATGGATATAAGACTTCATTATCTACAACTTTGATGAATGAATCAAGTCCAAATTCGTAGTGGAACATCCTCAAAATCTCAGGACAAACCGGCACCGGAATTGCACCAAATCGGCGTCGGTTGCTTGTAAAATTCCGACGCCGGAATTGCCGAAACACAACCTGATGGAGTATATGGCCCGGGAACCCCCGGTCCACAGACTCCTACTACTCCAATAAAGGCCCAACAGGCCTAGAAAGCACAACAGGCCCAAATCACGGCGCCCAAGGTACCAAGCAGCCCACAATGCGCACTAGGGGTGCCTTCGGTCCCCTGACCGAAGGCTCCAATTCTCACAGGAGGGTCAAAACAGGAAAACAAAGCTACTGGGAAAAACGGCGAAAATCAGTAGCCCTCGGCACCTAGATCCCTCGGCACTAAGGAGGTCCTCGGTACTCAGAGCCCTCGGCCAATCATCTACGGCCGAGGGCACCTTTCCGACATAATATCCGCTCCACATGTGTATGGATCACCGTACCCAGTACAACGTCCCATCCAACAGCCGCATTAAATGCGGCCACATGCGGTTGCCAGCGCCAACCAGCTGAGGTGACCTCTCGGCCAATGGACGCTTGACACGTGTCCCTGTCTGGCATTTATTGCTACTATAAATAGCACCCCATTTCCCCGTTGTAAACCACGCCGAAAACGCTGAACACATTTCTAATACACTCTCTCTCTCTCTCTACTCATTTGCTCTGACTTCTCTCTAGTTATTCCCCGTAATAACCCCTCGGATAAGATACCCCCCGGGTACACTATCCATCATTTGGGTGCTCTCGTTGAGAGGTCGAACAATCAAGTAAGAAACCCTCCCCCTCAACCAAACACAAAACACCCAGCTAAAATGGTGAGAACAACTCGTGCCAACTCCAAAAATGTACCGAAGGGTCTTCAAATTAAACACTTGGTGTTTCCCCATAGATGTTTGGAAGTTGATAGGAGAGCATCTCCCTGGCACCGGGTGCCGAGGGTTCTTCTTTGAAACACTTGGTGTTTTTTCTTCGTTTTCGGTGTTTGATTAAGGAGGTGTACCCTCGGCACTGGGTGCCGAAGGGTCTTCTGTAGGAACACTTGGTGTTCTCATCTTTTCTTTTTTGATGTTGAAGGTGGGGATGTACCCTCGGCACTGGGTGCCGAAGGGAAAGGAAACACATGGCGTTCCTTGTTGTTGGTGATAGGAGTTTCCTCCCTCGGCACCGGGTGCCGAGGGGTCTTGACTGAAAGCACGTGGTGTTTTCACTGTTTGTTGTAGGTGTTGATGGTGTCCGCCCTCGGCACTTGGTGCCGGAGGGGGTTCTTCTCGTGGTGAGGCCTGGGGCCTGTAGTCAGTATGAGGGCTTGATGTCTTGAATGTATCTTCATTCTTCGAAATTGGAGGCCTTGGGCCATAGGATAGTACATTCACTAGTTATGAGGGCTTGGCCGCTCTTACATTATTGATAAAATTTAACTAAATGGTGTACATTCCAGTGCCTAGGGACTTCTCTCCCATTGGGGCGTTTGAGCTTGTAGGTCCCGGGTTTTATGATGGCTGCTATGATGTAGGGGCCTTCGAATTTTGGTGCCATTTTTCCTCCCTCGGTTGGTTGGCTGGCTTCCCTCCTCCGGAGGACATAGTCCCCCACTTGAAATTCTCGGGTGCGAACTTTGGCGTCAATGTAGCATTTAACTTGCCTTCGGTAGTTTTCTGCCCGGATGAAGGCCTGCTCCCGACGTTCTGAAATGAGGTGGAGGTCGAGGGCCATGTTGCTGTCGTTGACCTCGGGGTCGTATTGGATCACCCTTCGGGTAGGAAGGGTGACTTCCGTAGGAGCTTTGGCTTCAAAACCGTAGCAGAGGGAGAAGGGTGTTTCACCTGTAGCTCGCCGAGGGGTGGTGCGGTAGGCCCAAAGGATGTTGTGAAGTTCTTCCACCCAGCCACCACCCTCGGCCTCCAGCTTCTTTTTGAGGCCCTCGAGCAAGGTCCGGTTGGCATTCTCTACTTGCCCGTTGCCTTGAGGGTAAGCAACGGAGGAGAAGGTGTGTTTGATGCCCCATGCCTCCAGAAGGGCACAGAAGGGGGCTGCCTCAAATTGTGTCCCATTGTCGGAGATGATCTGCTGGGGGACGCCAAACCTTGTGAGGATGTTCTTGAGGACGAAGTGACGGCACTTTGCCTCTGTGATGCTGGCGAGGGGTTCAGCCTCCACCCACTTGGTAAAATAGTCGACGGCCACAATGATGTATCTGTTGTTGGAGGTACCCCTCGGCAGAGGGCCCACAAGGTCTATCCCCCATCGGGAAAACGGGACAGAGGTGCTGATGGGGGCATAGTTGACCGATGGTCTGCCGGGAGCTTTCTGGAAATGTTGGCATGCGGTGCACCTCCGAGCAAGGTCAGCACAGTCCCTGGCCATGGTTGGCCAGAAGTAGCCCTCGAGAATGAGCCTTCGGGACATGGAGAAGGGTCCCTGGTGAGCTGAGCAAGTGCCACTGTGCACTTCCTCCATT